TCACTGCAGGATTTAAAATTTCATAACATCCGGAAGCATTTTCGTTCTTCACGCATTTTACATAAGTCTCGATACTTTGCTCCAAGTAACTTAATGGCGCGGAACCCTGGGATAGCAGATGGTAGTGAAAGTCACGAAGTTTGAATTTATCTCCCAACATTTCCTTCGCGTACTCTCTGAGTTTCTTGATATGCTGTTGGCCAATCATATAGGCAGTAGCCTGGCCTGGTGCGCTTTGGTAACGAGTCACCTCCCTTAAGGCCTCACCACTTTCATCCCAAGCGAAGTCTGCGAAAAAATCTAGGGCTTTTTGGCGGGAAAATCCTTGGTAGTGCAGACCCGAGTCGACAATTAACCGTAAGGCGCGCCACACCTGTAGAGGAGCAATTTAGTTGACAATACTAGAGCCAGATGTCGTCGAAAAAGTTCATTTGGGTAGTTTATTAAACCCTCGAAAGGAAACTAAGGAAAGAGTAACAGATGCTTGGGTTCTTCATCTGTGGTCATCTAAACCTGATTTCAAAACCTCTTAGTGACTGGTTGTTAAATAGGATGCCTGCACACTAGCAATTTAGAGTGATCCTTATTTTGGAAAATTATTAGTAAATAATCTCCACTTTCCCTCAACCACTCGCTCAGCCTATTTTGTTTAGAGTGCGAAAATTGTCATTAGAAATCGCAATAGCCAGCAGGGTGACGTTTAGATACTTCAATTTTTTGTAAGTTTACAAGGAAAGAGAGCAACCTCATTTTTTTTTTCTCCTTTGTTTCTTTGTTTCAGTCAAAGGGTTTTTCGTTTCTCGGGATTTTTAAACACACATTATACAGACTACTAGTTTTCTTCTCATTGAATTTCATATTAAATATGTTGCTTTAAAATTTCACAGACTTGGCCAAGCTAATTAAGAAGACACCAGTTTAGTTTAAAGTGCGAGGCATGGGCACCTTAGCAGAGTGGCTTTCGTCTACAGAGATTGAAAATCATTCAACCGAGGTAATTTCCCAAAAAGATTAATTTGAGTAAGAGTACGGTTGACAATTTCATGACATCTGTCTCGATCTGTTATTAATACTAACCTGCCATTTCAGCATTCCATATTTCTGCAAAGGCTCATCCTTATAGACATCGGTGTCCTCGCCAATCAATGGGTTCTCAGCGTACAGACCCCAGCCCTCGGTAAAGGCAGTGTAGTAAGTTTCTTGATCAAGCCATTTGATTACTCCTCCACAACTATCCCGAAAGTGTTCCTCTAAACCTTGCACCTGAGTAAGTGACGGAAGAAGAAATTAACCTACTGACTTTGTAACTAAGTAAATAATCTCGACCCCTATACTGCATTTTCTCTTCCACGTTTCTTTGATAATTTTGGCCATTACTCCGAGGCATCTAACAGTGTGTGATTAACCCTCTAAATCCCAATTAAGATCTCATTAGTAATTCCCCTTACTATCTGCCATATCATTCTTGTGATGTTAGTTCAGAGAATTTGGTGCTAGATCAACTAATAATCCCCTAATTGATATTGTTCTTTATTCTCATGGCTTGTCTGTTTGATATTGTATTGATATTGTAAGGAGAAATTCTCTTTTAGTCACTGATGGGAGCTAAAGGGCTAAAAAGGGAAAATGTGTTTTCTTCCAGTGTCAAGTCCCCTCGTCTAAAATGAAGGTTTAATTTGAAATTTAAAGACTTGCTGAGGACAAATTTTCCAATGTCTTTCAGAAAATTTTTCAAGGAAAATGGAAAGTCTTATCCGACAAGTTTTCCGACCAATGTCGATAACAACTCTGTCAAGCTTATATATGCAGTGAACATTGTTTATTTGAAAAAAAATCACCGGTGAAAAAAAAAACGTGTTATTGCAAATACGACTAACTGGGATGTTTAAGCTACGATTTTAGCAGCAGTTTGATAATGTAGTACATACTTAGAGGGAGTAAAAAAAGCAACTGCAAGAGCAGATATCTCACTGTTCCTTTTTGATGGTTAGATGAATTCTTAGAAGAAGGTAAAATTATTCTATTTAAAAAAAGCTTTAATTCTATTTTGTCCAGTGCCTTTTCATTTATGGACCACAGATGATGTCAAATAAAAGTAAACAGAAAAGATTGGCTCAGATATAACATTCTCATACGCCCCCTTCCATACATGTTATCTCTATATCTATTTTAAGTGCTTTTTGTCGTCTGTGTCGTGGTTTATGTAGTCTGTTTCATATATAAGCGTCATAGAGTTTTTGTTAGATCTTTATTTTTGAGATCGACTCATTTTCACGCCTTGCAGTGCTAAGAGTTTATTGTTCCTGTGGGGGTGGTGCCTGAGGTGGCTACGGGCCTTAGCTTTCACTTTTTCTAACATTAATAGTAAATCGATAATCGCAACGAGTACTAACTTGCGTGTGATGTCCAGGCCTTCCTTCGTGTGCGTTTATACTCCATTCTTCGTACCTGTTGCCAGGCTCAGATGTGAAGAAAGGTATATTGTACCGCGCGTTCTTTTTACAATCTTTACCAGCCCTATTATAATTTGCTCCTCCAGAAGGATTGAAGTCGGGAGACAGCTGTATTGGACAATTTGGCGTTGTGTGTTTTGCACCATTGAAATGAAACATATTAATCGTCTTTGGATCCAGCAGTCCCAATGCCTAATAAAAAGAAAATTCACGAATCATGAATGAGGAAATGTAAATACGCTGAGACTAACTTTTCCCTGTTAGCTTACCTCCTTAGCTCCTTTGAGGGAACTTAACTAAAGACAGGTGACCGGAAAAAAAGTGAAATTTCGTAGTCGAGTTTCTACACATACCATGTGGGCCTCATCAAACCAGTTTTGAAGCGCTCGCCATCTTGTGGGACAATATTTCTTCGCACCTTCGACGTTACCACACAACACATGAGCATTTTCATCAGACTCATTCTTCGGAAACTCCCCTTCTAGATAGTTCAACTCAGAAACTCTCGATTTCAGCTTCTTTCTAAACTCTTCTTTAGCTGTATCGTTATCAGTTTGTTGTGTTACCAGCCGTGCTACTTCTAGGACCTACGAGTAAATAAATGAAATAACTGTAAGTGATGATACTACGTCTCATTGTAAATACTCTAATTTGTATATTTGTTCATTTTTTTTAAAAGGCTACGTCAGAAACACTCTCAAAATTTTGATTAATTCTTGCCCCCTTCAACAGTGATGCACCAGTGACACTGACTTTCCCAATCATTCTTCATCATTACATCGCATATTATCCATGCCTCCACTCCTTTCTTGTTCTCAAGCACCCTCTCCTCGATGCTGCACCCATCGTTTATATTTTACTTTTTCAAGCTTGTCACTAACATTGGTCTCATCTGATAAACGGAAAGTGAGGTATAAACAAATTCACTCTATCGTACGCAAA